TTTTAACAAACAGACCACAGTTAGTGAGGATCCACAACCTCTCCTCCTCCACCATAACCCTCAGCACTGGCTCTCCTCAGGGATGTGTGTTGAGCCCCCTTCTGTTTACTCTGCTCACATATGATTGTGCAGCTACCCATCCAGGCTGTCACATTGTAAAGTTTGCAGATGATACAGCGGTGGTGGGATGCATCACAAACAATGATGAGTCCAGCTACAGGCAGGAGGTGGAACACCTGGGGAGCTGGTGCAAAGAGAATAACCTTCACATCAATGTGAAGAAGACAAAGGAGATGATTGTGGACTTCAGAAGGAACAAAAACATCTACACCCCCCTGAACATAAGAGGATCTGCGGTGGAAGTGGTCTCCAGCTACAAGTACTTGGGTGTGCACCTGAACAACAACCTCAGCTGGAGCAACAACACCACCAGCCTGATCAAGAAAGCTCATCAGAGACTCTACTTCCTCAGACGGCTGAGGCGAGCTGGTCTGGAAGCTCAGTCCTCACCTCCTTCTACAGGTGTGCAGTGGAGAGCATCCTGTGCTCCAGCATCAACGTGTGGCATGGAGGCTGCACAGCTGCAGAAAGAAAAGCTTTGCAGAGAGTGGTGAAGGCTGCACAGAAGATGTTGGAGTCAGTCTCCCCACCATCACAGACATCTACACCTCCAGATGCAGGAAGAGGGCCACCTGCATCATGAAGGACCACACTCACCCAGTACACACACTTTTTGCCCCACTCCCCTCAGGAAGGAGGTTGAGGAGCATTAAGTGTAGAACCACTAGACTGAGGAACAGCTTCTACCCTGAGGCTGTTAGACTCATGAATCTCTAACTAGAATAATCACTGTGAAAAACCATATCATGTTGCTGCTGATCTGTTTCATGTTGCTGCTGATCTGTTTCATGTTGCTGCTGATCTGTTTCATGTTGCTGCTGATCTGTTTCATTGTTGATGTGTTCATGCGTGCACATCTGCTCACAGACTCATGTTCATGTTTGTGCTGATGTTCAATGTTTTATGTTATGAGTGCTTAGTGTATATTTAGTTGATGTTTTTCTTAGTTCATATCTTAGATGTTATTACTGTTTTTCTTATACATTTTATTGTTGGATGTAACTGGGACCCTGTGTACATAATTTCGCTCCACCACATGTACCACATGTGGTGCGAATGACAATAAAGAATCTCTGACTCTGACTCTGATCCATGGTTGGTCAACAACATTTCTCTTTGTATAATTATTTTGCACACAATTATTTTCATACAGAGCTCCTAAAATATTCATAAACTCATCATATGATCTGTTCACATCATCAACATACACGTCTTTCCAGCTTTGTTTATGTAAATCATCTTTTAATTTGTCCATTGCTTTTTTTGATGTGTTTATTGTTTTTTTCTTAATTGTAATTTCTTTTGTAATGCTTTGATCATTTTCATAAATCATGAAAACTGGTAAATGATCACTCAAATCACTCGTTAAAATACCTCCCATCACATCCCCATTTGTTACATTTGTGAAAATATTATCGATTATTGTAGCACTATGAGTTGTAATTCTTGTTGGTTTTGATATTAACGGATAAAGATTTAAACTATACAATGAATTTGTAAATGTACTGATGTTATTTGAATCTGTTTTATTTCCCAGGTCAATATTAAAGTCTCCACACAAAAAAATGTTTTATTAAAACTCTTGTCCAATAGTTGTACGATTTTATCAGTGAATATTTTTACATTTGATCCTGGAGATCGATATACACAACTTATCAATATGCTTTTATCATTCTTGTTTATTATTTCTATTGTTGTTATTTCCATGATATTATCAACAACTGTTGACATTTCATCAATTAATTTACATTTTATTTCATTTTTAACAAATAGAGCCACTCCACCACCTCTTTTGTTGCTTCTGTTCACATGATATAATTCATACCTTCCATGTGAACATTGTTTGTGTTTTCATCGTTGAGCCATGTCTCTGACAGTGCTATTATTGTAAAGGTTCTGTTTAGCTGTTTTAAATAATCTGTTATTTTGGATATATTTGCATTTAAACTTCTACTATTAAAGTGAATAATAGAGAGACCTCCATTTGTTATATTGATTCATTAAACTGTTCTTCATTGTAATATTCACAGTCTTTTATTTCAGGGAAAAAATTTGTATCAATCGCATCTTCAACATTGTATATTTTAAACTCTAAGTCTTCATATGTTGCCATGTTTAATGTATTTGTTTGTTTTATATTTTGTTAATTTCTTGTTTGTGAAGTTATGTCAATGATTTATCATCTGTCATCTCCTGAGCTCATTTTAGTTTTTCCAGATCTTTCAGGTCTTTTATTATTTTAGCCTGAGATCCTTCCTGTAGTTTGATCCAGATGTTTCCATTTCTTGTCCAAGTTGATGCTATTTTTTTCTGTTTTTTCAACCACCTTGCTTCTCGTGCAATATTTCCATTTTTTTTAGTTAGATGTTCGTTTATGTAAACATTTGTTCCCTTCAGTTTTTTTGTTTGCATTATTACCTTGTTTCTTGATTTCCTGCTAATGAACTTGATGACTATGGATGGTTTGGCTTTATCTGATTTGTTGGGCAGTGTGTGACAGATTGAAATGTCCTCATGTTCGATGTCAATGTCTTTGTTTTGTAAAAAATTCACTACTTGCTCCTCCAGAGTCTGTAGTTCTTCCTGTGGTGCATCTTCTGCTGTGTTAGTACCAGCAACAACTCTTGCATAAGTTCAGTTCCTAACTTCCAGTCCAGTGATCACCAAGTTGTCTAGTCTTGTGTATTGTTCCATGTCGTCAACTTTCTGTTCCAGTTCAGCTATTTTTCTGTCTTTATTAGTCATCAGTTCTTTCAATTGTCTCACTTCTTCAGACAGTCCTGTCAGTAAATCACATTTAGCTGATACTTTAGTCACATCAGCACTCAATTTAGTCAGTTCCGCACTCAATTTAGTCAGTTCAGCACTCATAAAGTTCAAAGATTTTTTAACTTCCTCCATATCTTCTGAATTATTTTCCGACATTTGTCTCTTATCTCTGTGTTTGCTCGGCATTACTCACGATACTTCTGGATTATTGGTCTCAACTCTCAGAAGCACAGGATCCAGCCATGAGGTTCACAAGCTTATATTGTTAGCCAAGGCCTAGCGGCAACAACCTCCAGGTCCCACGCCGTCTCACGATTCACTCGTTCCAGCAGTTCGCAGCCCCGACAGATTTGTGGGTGAGGGGGTGCTACTCATGATCTCCTTCTGAAAAACTGTATGGAGTAATGGTGTGTAAATAAACCAAAAGAGGTTAATGCTGATGTACATAGAACAGCAGGAGGTAGCATATAGTGTGGCAGTCCAACATGTTCACAGGATGGAAGAACTCAGATTAAATAGTCCACAGATCCTTGGATCCTTCGTGCATCACAATCTCTCTGTGTAACTTCAAATACTAATGCCTACAGATGGGCAGGAAACAGTATTATATAATCATGATAGGATTGTTGTCCAACTACTGAGCTTTTCTTTTTTCACTTGTGCTGAGCAAAAGTCCAGAAGCCAATTTAGTTTATTAGAAAAAATGTCTCCCTTATTAGTTGCCTTCACTAAACTTCAAGATATTGGATATTTGATCATCATTCAACACTTGCTCTTCTCAAGGGCGAATGTCTTCTCCTCTCTCTCTCCACTTTGCTTTTGCTCTGTCTGTCTGTGAAACTGCTTTAGAGCCTCTCTTCTACAAATCATCCAAATCATAACTATGGACTTGGATTTGATCAGTTGGTCCCTCAACACAATTGATAACATTTCTTTGAAGAGAAGACAAGCTTTAGATGAGCCGATGTGCCCTGTTGGCACGCACGCTGCTGGATATCTCATCGACTTTGAAGACGATGACGTGTCTATCTCTGCTGTCATCTGTGGATTTTAAGGACACTTTTATAATTGGATTTATGATAACTGGTTCCTGCTTTTCGGATTCAGCTGGTTCCTGGTCTGTTAACAAACAAGGAAGTCGTTGACAGCAAATCTGGACCTGGTCAGGCTGCCTGCCTTATATGATGGCTTGGTTCGTGCCTCGAGCACCCAGATTCTTGGCAGAATGGATCAGATCTCGGGGATTATTCTTAGGCATATTCCATTGGTATGGTCATTTAATTTGGACGTTTCTGAACCAAGGACTGACACAGATTCAAGGTAGATGTCATTAAAGTTCTGCCTGAGCCAAAAACAATTGTGTTTATCTGAATTCGGCTCCCTGACTGGTCTTGACAGGCCATCTTATCTCATCTCACCTGGAAAGTTTTGTAAACCTGATGCTCTGCCCCTCCCTCCTACTGAGGAATTTCCATGGACTTTTCAGAGGAGCCCAGCTGAATAAACATTCTGTCATCATTTCAGAACTCTGGATTTGTTTCTGGTCGTCCTCGGCACCCCAGAGTGTGCACGGATCTCTCCAGAGGGAACTATTTGAACTGAGTGATTTTATCTGAACTCTGCAGTGCCTCTGTGTGTTGTTCCGGATATGCCCACCGCCCTTGCGTCGTCCCTCCCCCCCCGGTAATGTCGGCGCCATTATGTGCTAGTGTGCAAGATTTTTTTTCATTATCACACTGTTGACCTTTGAACAGAGGTTAAAAGCGTGTTAGGAATTTTTTTGTCTCCAAACCCTATGTGTTATTTTTCACCACTTTTATTGTCCAAACAGGTCTCACTTGTAAATGAGTCTTGGAGGCTCAATGTGACTTATCTGTTTAAATAAATGTTGAATGAATGAATAATAAACTGCTGATATTTTCACAAATATTGTTTCCATGGCAACCAGCAGTTTCTTCCATTTCCTTTCTGAACTACTGCGAGTTTTTTCCTCAGCAATCTGCAGGCAAAGCTTGAATCAACTTTTTATTTTGTCATGTTGACTCTGATGGGACTTTTTACCTTTGTAATGCCATTTCTAACTGGAATCATTTTGTGTTTCTTCCCCACAGGCTCCACGCTGCCCCGACAGGGCCAACAGGTTCAGAATGGCCCTGTGCAGGAGGAGGTGGACCTGCAGAGAAGGTAAAAAGCATGGCCTACTGAACATGGACAAACTAGTTTAAATAATTCCAAAAAAAATGCATGCATAAATATTCACCCTCCTTTCCTGTGGTGACATAATCATTATTTTTAGAAGCCATTTAATTAGTTAACCAGATAGACGTGTAAGCAATCCAAGAGTCAAATGATCTCAGCTGCTCTCACAGTCTCAAAATCAACACCCAGAGTTGTAGGGTCCACCACCAAGCAAGAGACATCATGAAGAATAAAGAACTTTCCACAACAAAACAGACAACGTTGTGGAGAAATACATATCAGGGTTGAGTTATTAAAACAATATATCCCAGAAACAAGAAGACAATAACTCTAAACACTGCTGAAGCAACACTCCTCTGGTTTAAGGAGAACCAGGTAATGGGCCTAGAATAGTCCAGTCAGAGTGTTGACCTCAGTCCACCTGAGAATCTGGTTTGATTTAAAGATTGCTGGACATGAGCAGCACCAGCCAGCCTGAAGGAGCTGCAGCAGTTTGGACGTGAATGATGAACAAAATGTTCAGGTTAGATGGATCAAGATCATGGAGACAAGAAACAGCTTGATGCTGAAACTGCTGAAAAAGGTGGTCACACATATATTGATTGGCAGATTTTTCTCCTATTTAACTTCACAACTTCAATTTATTTATTTATTTATTTACATTTTGTGAAGTTCCTGTACTTGTGACATACTTAGTTGCAACAAATGTAAAAGGGTTGTCAGCCCTCCCCATACCTCACAGTCCCTTTAATGATGAGGGGCTGTATTGGAGGAATGTTCTTTCAGAAGTTCAACATGATTTCTTTGGTCTTGTCTGTATTGAGGATGAGGTCGTTCTTCTCTCCATAGCTTGTTGTCTACCAGAGTCCTGTACCCTGGCTCGTTCCCCTCCAGGATGAGCCCCATTATAGTGATGTCAGCATATTTAATAACAATGGTGTTATGCTGGGTGGAGCCACAGTCATAAGTGTACAGACTAAAGTGTTTAGGGCTGAGGCAACAGCCCTGAGGGGCTCCTGTGCTGACTGTAAATTTCAGACACTGGTCCTCCCATTCTCACCACCTGTGGTCTATCTGTCAGGAAGTCCAGGATCCAGTTACAGGTGGGAGTTGGGATACCGAGGTCTGTTAGCTTTTCTATCAGTTTGCCCGTGTGGATGGTATTGAAAGCCCAACTGTAGTCCAGGAAGAGCATTCTGGCATATGTTCTTCTGCTTTCCAGGTGTTGCAGAGCGTGGTGTAGGGCTTTTGCTACCTCATCATTCACTGATCGATTAGGGCGATAGGCAAACTGGATGGGGTCGATAGTATCCAGGATCCAGTTGATTTGCTTAAGAACCAGTTTTTCTAGACACTTCATAGAGACAGATGTTAGTGCCCCTGACCTGTAGTTAAGGGTGGCTGTCTGAACTTTTCGGAACTGATTTGATGATTCTGGATTTGAAAATACAAGGGACTACTGCCTGGGATAATGACAGGTTGAAGAAAACATCTACTATTATGAAATTTATGCTCGGAGGCTGTATAGTCAGTCAATGTAAACTCAAAGGTTATTAAAACTGGTGCAACAGAACAGGACAGTGAGGATGTATTACGTGCTACTTTCTATGCCACATGTCAGAACCAGATGAAGAGAATGAGGAGGTCTCTGGACATTTTGGATAAAGCCAACTGACACTTCTAAATTATTCAAATTCAAATTAAAGTTCAAAAATACTTTATTAATCCCAGAGGGAAATAAAATAAATAAATATTAAAGGGTATGTTTCAGCAGCACGGTGGCACAACTGGTAGAGCTGCTGCCTCTCAGCGAGCAGGTCCCTGGTTCAAACCCCGGTCCAGGGGCCTTTCTGGGTGGAGTTTGCATGTTCTCTCCGTGCATGCGTGGGTTTTCTCCGGGTGCTCCGGTTTCCTCCCACAGACCAAAAACATGCATGTTAGGCTGATTGGTAACTCTAAATTGTCCCTAGGTGTGAGTGAGAGAGTGAATGGTTGTTTGTCTCGTTTGTCTCTATGTGGCCCTGTGATGGACTTGTGACCTGTCCAGGGTGTACCCCGCCCCTCGCACAGTGACTGCTGGACATGGGCACCAGCGACCCCCGTGACCCAAAATGGAATAAACGGGTAAAGATAATGGATGGATGGATGGATGGATGGGTATGTTTCAGCTAACACTTTCAACATCTGCATGAACATTGAAATCCCCCACTATTATGACTTGGTCAGTATTCAATAAAAGTTCAGATAAAAAGTCTGAGAATTCAGGCAAAACCAGAATAAGTTAATACTCTCACAAATAACAGCATTTATATATTAAGGTTAAATACAATCCACTGGTAACATGATGAATAATTTCCAAATTCAACATGTAATTATGTCATTCTTTAGATATGTAGCCTTTGTTTGCGTGCGCATGCACGCACACACGGTCAGGCATTTTTCTGCAATGAGTCAGTGCTTTTATTTCATTTTAAGGTGGACTTGGATCCATCTACATTTTATGAGGTCTGGAGGTCTGAAAATCTGCCAACTTCATTTTATGTTTTATTTTTGCTTTTTCATTTCTACCGTTCTGTTTCCCTCCAGCTCCATTTGTGCCCCCCCCCCCCCCCACACACACACACACACATATATACACTATTTGGGTCCTCCCCTTTCTAAGCTCCTCTTTTGCTCCATATTTAGCATCAACAAACAGAGAGGCAGACAGCAGATCAGTTACTGAGGTCATCTGTTGATACAAGGGCCATTTTCAGCCGGATGAGAAAATGAATGAAGGATGTGTAAATCAGAGTGACTAGAACAGAAGACAGGAGCTGATGGGGGAGTAGGAGGACAATATGTTGTGGAGGAATGAATTGGCAGCACACCCCAGTATCAAACTTGTTAGAAATCGTTTTGAAGGGTTTAGCAGTTTAAATTTGACTGACATGATTTTGCTTATTAGCTTGTTCTGCAAGTTTTACTAATGACCAGATTTTCTAGACTAAGACAGCTGGATTGTATCTGTTCAATTCAAGTTCAAGGTTCAAGGCTCTTTTGTCATTCGCATCACATACATGAGGTGGAACAAAATTGTGTACTCAAGGTCCCAATTATATCCAAAAATAGCAACAAAAAAAAGTACAGTATATAAAGTATTAAAAAAACAGTAGACATGGATCTAAGCAATACAATAATGTAAAACAATACAGAGTATTAAACAGCAGCCTGAACAAGAGTCTGTGGTGAGCAGATAGGTATGAATACAGGAGCTTAAAGGCAAGAAATCAGCAGCATGGATAATCAGCAGCACAGGTAAAGTGACATATTATTAAGTAATTATTATTTATAATATATTATTGACATATTAAATAAATTAAAGTGGCATTGCAGTGATTATTCTGGTCTGGGAAGCCCAGTCCTCACCTCCTTCTACAGGTGTGCAGTGGAGAGCATCCTGTGC